CTGCCTCCCTGGGCAGCCTTCCCAACCAGACACGGCTGCCTGGCCCAAAGCCCTTTCGCAGCCCTGTTTTTCAAAGTTGTTTTGGTGTCTCCTGGCAAAAGCTGCTGATGACCCAAATTCTAAATATAGAAGCAATTCCATCTTTTATGTGACAAATGCAAAACCTCTGTCCCTTGTTCATCTTGGGGAAACAGGTCTTTTTGTCAGAGAAGTGCAAATGTAACACCCAAATGTAACACCCAGATTTCTTTTCAGTGAGGTCACCTCCTGGCTGTGGTCATTCCCTGAGTGCAGTCATGGTATTTGTTCTAGGTGAATTCCTCCATGCTCCTTCACTGCCGGAAAGCCACACTCAGAGCCTCAGGCAGATCCCAGKTTCTTCATGGACCAGTCCCATCTCAGGTGCTGGGCAGTTCCTCCGGGCTCAAAGTGCATCTCTCCCAGGGCACAGCAGCTGGGGAGTCAGGCCCCTGTCTCTTTTCCTCACCCTGGAGTGCTGTGTGGGCTGTGGATGTCTATGGGTGGCACAAGGAGGTTTTATGGGGCTGGAGGGCGGTGGTTGCCCCATAGTTATGATCATCACCCATCCACTCTGCACCYTGCTCACATTACTGTCTCCCATCCAGGCCCTGCAGCACAGAGCAGCTCCTGCCCACTGCAGAGCACATCCCAGTCCCACAGGTGTTCCCAGGGGAGAAACTATGCCCAGCCTTGAAACAATCACAGGTTCCCTGAGTGCCTCACAACCCTTCTCCAGCGCGGGCCAGGGGGGTGAGCAGAGGTCTCTCTGTAGGGRGACCTGTGGAGGGGCTGGGAGCCAACACAAAGCCCTGTGCTGGGAGCAGGGAGGTGCTGGGAGCTGTAGGGGCTGGGAGCTGTGGCTGCAGGGAGCTCTGGGTGCTGGAAACTGTGTGCTGGGAGCAGGGGGTCACAGGGAGTTCTGGGTGCTGGAATCTGTGGAGTGCTGGGATCTGTGGGGTTCTGGGATCTGTGGAGTGCTGGGAGCTGGGGGGTGCTGGGAGCAGGGGGGTCCTGGCCACCAGGCAGTAAGTGACCAAAGTTGGTAATGCCCCCATTTCCCACTTGCCTGAGCCACAGTGCATCCACACAGCCCTGTCTCCTGCTGGGGCTGTACTGAACCCTTCCTTTGCCTGGGTGTGTGTCTGGCCTGACACAGCTTCATCTCTCTGCCAGGATCCCTCTGATGCCAGCAGAGAGGGGAAGGAAGAGGGAGCAGACACTGCTGTGAAGTCCTGTAGAMCTGGGATGAAGACCACCTGAGCCAGCCAGGCCTTGGGCATCTCTGGGAGGAGCAAGGCAGTGGGGGAGAAGCCACATTGAGCCTGTGCCTCATGCACCTTACTTTGGCCACCAAACTCCAGCAAGACCCCTGAGATATCTCAGAGACTGGTAGTTTTTTCCAGTTTAAGTTGCACACCTCCTGTCCCCAGKGCCACCACTCAAGGGGCCAGAGGGATGCCCAAGGAGATCAATGAGGATTTTTTATGATGTGAAGCAGTGCATGTTGCATTTTCTTGATTGACAACACAGAAAAACAACTTCAGGCAGGAGCTCCCAGGCAAATCCATCCCAAAGGGACAAGCAGCATGDAAACAGAGACCTGAGGAGCTGAGCTGTGACACATGCAGATACCAGAGATGTGGGTGATTGGTGGCACTTTCCAGTCTGCTTCACTGGGGCTGGGTGGGTGTCTGAGCATATCCCTGGGCCATGGAGTGGGTGCCCAAGAGCTTGCAGGGAGATGGGGGAGGCTGGGACAAGGGCGTCTGGGGAAGGAGAATGAGCAGCTTCAGCTCATTCATAGCAACCCTGAGATGAGTTGTTAGTCAGAGCTGGTGCTGGTAGCACACAGGTATGGCCTTGATCCCTGTATGGGCCATTCTCTTCAGAGCTGGACTCGATGATCATTGTGGGTCCCTTCCAGCTCAGTAGATTCTGTGATTCATTTCCCTGTTTTCTGCTGTTTGGTACAGAGCCTGTGAAGGACCARTGTCTCTGTGCACTGCACATGTACTTCAATAACTGCTCTTCCCAGCCCCAACTAACMAACACCCAGCTCCAATGTGGCAGCAAGCCCTGTGGCTCACTCAGATTGCGGTCTGCGGGCACCCAGGAGCTGCAAGAATTGAGGCAGCTGCTGACCCATAGCCCCAGGACATGGCTGGGAAATGCTTCTTCAGGCACTCAGCAGTCACCTGGTGACTTCAGCGTCACCAGGAGGAATGACTGGGGCAGAGCTCCCCGGGCTTGGGGAAAACTCATGGCAGGGATGCAGCAAGGTCACCCTAGGGACCTGCAGGGAAACCAGAGTAGGCAGCTGGGCTGGAGGGGTGCCCTGGATCCCCCTTCTCAGCCAATGCCAAATGATGAAGACATGTTCTTGGAGGGCTTTGCAAAGATCCAAACATACTATTATTTTCTGATCTTTTATTTTTTTCAGAAGTTTTGGGCAGCTGGACTCTGCATATTCTTTTTTCAATAAAGGACAAGTAAATGGGAATTGGAACTAGATGATSCTTAAGGGCCCTTGCAACTCAAATATAATGAGCACCCTGCCTACTTTGCATGCCATTTGTTGGGTGAAATGAAGCATGTGCATAACACCTTGCCAGAGGCTCTCAGCACTGCTCCCAAAACCTCCTGGGTGAAGAAGAAACCAACGTGACCACCTTCCTATTTTCAGCAGTCACCCAAATTCACAGCGTGCCTCCAGTTCTGCGCCTGAGCAGCAGAGCCCGAGGCACCTGCTGGGGTGGACTCACGCTGTGACACACCGAGCTCCAGCTCACTCCCCATTGCCTGGGGGCAGGTGAGGTGCAGTCAGCTGCCTGCTTGTCCTCCTCTCCAGGCACAGCCACCTTGGGCCTCGCAGCTCAACTGAGTGTGACTTTCCCAGTGACCYGAGAGCCAGGGCCATTCAGGAGTCAGACAGCTCATGCCCTGTGTCTCCGCATCCTACCCCAGGATGCCACGAGGGCACTCTGGTTTCCTTTCCCTTACTCAGTGTCAGCAGACACTGCTGTCCCTGGGGACAGTCTCTCCAGGCTCTCCTTGCTATCCCCATGCACAGRCAGGAGACACAGTGACGTAGACCCCGGGCTTATAGAACACGAAGGCTGGGCCACCACAGCTTCCTGCCCGCTGTGCCCTGTGCCAGCGAGATTAAAGTAATTTGTCACTGTCACACAGCACAGCTGTCACCCACCGCAGCAGCCCCTGACTGCAGCCCCAGCCAGGCACAGCAGGGCCCGGCAGCCGCTGCTGATGGCCCCAGGCTGGAGAGRAGCTCCTTCCTCTTCTTCACCGTGTGCGCAGCAGCCTCCCCAGCAGTAAATCAGCGCGGCTACACGCTGGCCTGGGAGAGGGCTGCCACCCTGTTTTGGCTGTAAAAGACCARGGCAGGGTGCAGCAGAGCCTGAAGCATTTCCTATCTCTGTGGGAAGGGTGAGAGGGTCATCCCATTTAAATCAGCCCTTTAGGGCACATACCAGCACAAATGGGGCCATTTACCCCGGGACATGTTTCACCCTAACAAAAGTAATTCTGTTACATTTGTTTTTATCCCCTCCTTTATGGCAGCAGGATTAAAGGTTTATTTCTACACTCCTCCTGCAGCCAGCAGGAGCCATGATGTAATCACTCCATGCAAAACCAGGACTTGGAAAAGCAGCAAAATGAGCACCCATGGGCAGCAGGAGCTCTTTGCTTCAGGCAGGGACCAGGCTSAGGGTCAAGTGTGGTTATGCTGTAACTTCTGGGTGTCTTCTGCAGATCCYCTCCTGCTCCRCCCAGCAGTGCTGGGCACCCCCTGTTCTTGAGCATTAACTGATACTGCTATGGCCAGCTCAGAATGTCCTCCATGGACATCCCAAATGAGTGGATTTCCTGCTTAAGTCTGTTTCAAACTTCATGTGTTTCTGCTCCCCTCTGGCAAAGTGGGGTAGGAGCTCTGCAGGRTGGCAGCTCTCCTCCCAAAATGGTTTACACTCTTTTGCAAGATCCTTCAATTATAGAAGACTAAATGTTAYTTAATTTGTGACCTCTGGTTGAATGAGACACAATTAACTTCTGCCTCTYGTGAATTTGTGGTGGGGAATTCTCACCTGTGGTGCCAGATGAGTCCTAACTGTTCCATGCATGATGCAGACATGCAAACTGCTCCATTAATGACTGTTTTAATAAATGTTTTATCTTTATATAGACAATTTCCTGCCGTGTGACAAGCTTGGCACTGTGTCAAACCAAACCTCGGTCCCATGGTCAGTCCACACTGAGGATGAAGGCAAACCTGGCCATGCCCAGCAGCCTGAGGGGCTGTGACACTCCTGTTCCTGGTGCCAGCCTGCACGAAACCTCTCAGCCCTCTCTTGTCTCGCAGGTGGGTAATGGTTGGGTGCCGCATCGACGGGTTTCAGCCCCARCCCCTTTATTCATGTCTCACCAAAGCATCTCTTCGGATGAGGCCTCCGCAGCGCAGCAGTGAGAAGGGAGTGGGTGTCTGGGAAGCCTTGAGCCTGTGCCTTCCCCTCGGCAGGGGACAGCATATCCCCCCGCACCCTTCCTGTCCCCCCCGCCGCGTCCTCGGGACGCTGCGGGCGGAACTGGGTTCTATGGCTTATTTTATTTTTTTTTTTTTTCAGTGGCTTCAGCCCTTATTTTTCGTCCATCTCCTTTCTCCCACTCCCGTTACGTCTCGGTGCCGGAGCTACCCGCTCGCCCCGCACCCYCCGGGTCCCAGCCCTTACCCTCGACCCCAACACTCCGGAGGTCCCAGCCCCTCGCCGCCCCCTTCCCGGGGACTCCGCCGCCTCTCCGGCCCCGCGGCGCGAAGAGCCCCGAGCGACCCCGGCCTCGCCCACTCGCGTCCCCCCGAGACCCCGCTCCCCACCCGGGACCCCCGGCCCCGCCCCGGGGCGGGCCCCGCCCTCCCTGCGCCCTCTCCCATTGGCTGCGGCGGCGGGTGGGCGGGGCCGCTTTGTGACGTAACGATCAGCTGTCGGAAGGTCCCGATTTGTGCGGGGGAGCGGCGCGCGCTCGGCAGAACCTCGGGATCCGCACCGGCCCCGCACCGGCCCCGCACCGGCCCCGCACCGGCACCGGCCCCGCACCGGCCCCGCACCGGCACTACCTCAGCGCCTCCCGCCTCCCGGCACCGCACGGCAGTGAGTCCCGCGGGACGGGGACGGGGTTGGGGTTCGGGTCGGGGCTGGGTCGGCGGGCTCGCACCGCCCGTACGGGCAGGGGGCCCGGCGCGGGGGGGGGGATGTGATGGGGGCGTCCCGGGATCCCCGGCTCCAGCCCCCCCCGCCACTGTTGTTTGTTTCTTCATCACCGGATTAAGATTTGCGGTCGTTCCCCGCTCCCATTGGCTGAGCTGTGGTGACGTCGTTCATTTGCATATGACATTGAGACGTCACAGCGCTTCCCCCCGTTGTCCCGCGGTGACCCCGCCAGCCTGGGGGGGATGGCGACGGTGGGACGTGAGACCTGCCCGCGGTGGTCACGSGTGGGTGGTCACCGTGTCGCTTCCGCGCCAGTCGCTGCTGTGACTTTTCTCAGCAGGAAACGTGGATGTGTCTCCCCTGTGATGTTTAGACGCTCTTCGGGTGCAAAACGTTGCTTTTTGAAGAAGGAATGTGAATATATAAATACATGTAAATAYATGAAATATGYCATAGAATCATAGAATCACAGAATGAGTCGGGTTGGGAGTGTGTGACCTTAAAAATAATCTTGTTCCAACCTCCTGCCATGGGCAGGAATGCCTTYCTATACTATGGATTATATATACTATATGAAGTATAGTATAAATAATATACTATATGTAATGAATATGCGTAAAGAATGTAAATAGATGTAAATCTGTAATACAGAAAAGTATTATCTATTTAACTGATTTCCAGGAATCCTTGGTGCTTTGGAATCTGTCTTTAGATCTCAATTGTCTTTGTAAATGCCACCAGTTTTAAGGAGATTCAGAGTGTGCTTTGATATTTGTGTTGGGTTTAATTGTGCTGCCCAGGAGGGGGCCGTGCGTGGCAGGGGCAGGCTCAGGTCTGTGCCATGGGGCAGCTCCACCAMATACCAGGATGCTGAACCCATGAGTACCACACATAGCATCTCCTTTTGGTATTGCTGCTCTAAGGGCATCTGCTTTGGGACAGCTCTAAAAAGCAGTGAGTCCTAAAAGAGCAACTTTCCTCTGGGTTTTATGTCTCTCACCTCAGCTTGGCTGAGTTTGGTAAGCCCTGGGAATTAATTCTGCTCCCTTCCGAGGGGACTCATTGTGGAAAAACCTGGACTTTATGGAATGTAGAAACATGTTTAAAAGGGCATTATTGCTCTTGTAATTCTTTTATGCATATACATACACACATTTGTGTAGGGAAGCTCCAGCCCTGCTCAGAGCACCTGAGCAAGGGGACTGGCACTCTGGAATCCCAAAATACTGGATTAAACTGTTTCCCTTGGGCCCAGCAACACCCGGTGCTGAAGTGGCACCAGCRAGGGCTGAGCTGGGCAGGTGCCAAGTGCTGTTCCTTGTTTGGCCAAGGTTTTGCTGGGGTAGGAAACCATCCCAGAAACCCTCCCAGAAACAGGTGTTGGGCTCTGGTACAGGATGTGCTGGACCTCCTTTCCCACCAGGTCTTATCTAATGAATACTATGAACTATTTTGTTTTGCTCTAAAATAAATCTTTCCTCTCCTTCCATATTTCCTCCCCCTGCAAAAAACCTACCCCCCAAAAAAACCCACCAAAAAAACCCCAAACCAAAAACCCCAACAGAAAGCAACAACAAAAAACAAAAGCCACCAAAAAAAAACAAAACCCAAAAAACCCCCACCCCACCAACCCAAACAACAAGCCTACAATAAAAAAAGGCAAAAGCTGTCTGCTATAGCTCACTGTCACTGTTGAGAACCCATTGCATCAAACTGCTGCTTATCTGGCTGAACACAAAAGGAAAAATATAAACGTTTTTCCCCAGATAATAAAATGGTAATACCTGGTCAYAGCAAGACTGGAACACTCTGTGACAGTAACTTGTATCTCAGGGGTTTTTAATGCTGCCTGCACAGTGACCCCTGCCCTGGCAAGGGGAGCCCTGAGTGGGCTTGGGGGGTGCTGGTGGGGAGCTCAGGGCTGCTGTGGTGTCAGAGTCCAGACTGCCAGGTCCTGTTCAGCCTCTGTGATTTAGGGAGGCTATAATGTGGGGCTGCTGCTCCCTTCCCGGTGTGCAGCCCCTTAGGATCCCTCCCTCCTTGGGATATTTCACCCAGTGCATCCCAGAGAGGAAAGTTCTAAAATTTCATAGCACAGCTCATGGCAAATCTAAAATTTCCTGGATCCTGCCAGCCACTGACAGATTTTCCAGGACTGTGTGTGATGATATCAAACAGCACAAGGTCACATTTGTCCTTGCAAATGCAGCAGTGACACAAGAGCTGGTGCAGAGGCAGAGACCAGCTCCTGGAAAAACATTTCCCCCTCATTCAGTAGGGCCCCCTCCTGCAAGTGGGATCTGGAGGAGCATGTGGGAACTCCAGCCCCTGCTGAGACCTTGGACTGGCTGAGGGAAGCCCTTCCAGGTACTGGCTTGGTCTGTGCTTAGTAAGAAGAGTCTCATGTTGAARAGTTTTTTGGGATTTTTCAAGCTGCTCTCTGTCTCCCCTGCTTCCATTGCCCTGCTCTGCCACAGAAGAGGCTCCAGCTGTGGATCAGCCTCTGTTTTGCTGGAATCAGCCTGTCTGTGCTGGCAGCAGCCTCGGSGTGCAGCTCTGCCCCTGTTCCCAAGGGAACCCCATCAACGAGCCCCAGGGCTGGCAAAGCAACAGGATGGSCTAGAGCTGTTGTTGTGGGACCAAATGCGTTAATGCAGCCCTGCCGAGCTGTCCTGGGCAGGTTCCTGCCAGCTCTGGTCCCTCCCTTGATTGGGATGGACAGAGGGAAGCACAGGGATGATTCACGGGTCACTTTTGGGGTGGTGAGCAGAGCTCCCCTGAGCTGCCCAGCTGCCAGATCCCCTTCTCTTGTGTTTCGTGTTTCTGTGCTAGGTTTGGGATTTTCATGCACCCAGCACAGCGAGCTTGTTGAACGCTTGTCTAATTTAGGTAAAATKAGTTGAAAATCCCAAGTGGGTTGGAGGAAGGCACCTGATTTGTACCTCCGCTGCCTCCGGGATGACTGCGCGGGGTATTCTTAGCTCTGCCGAGGAAGGACCGCTCCTGCCGCCTGTCAGCAGCATCCCTCCCGCTGCCAAGTATTTATGGAAAGTTTCAGGGAGCCTGTTGCCATTTCTAAGGGAGTTGCTGTTGTTCTTTCAGACTGTGACTTTTGAGAGCTGCCAGTCCTGCGACGCTGCAGCTCCTGCCCYGGCGAGCTCCTGGCGCATCCCAGGGCTTTGCTGCTGATCCTGTTCCCTATTCTTAGCTCCTGCAGTTATTTGCAGCCACAGTGACTCAGAAAACTAATTATTGTGTCAAAGTTTCTGAAGGGGAAAGATTACTTGATGCATTGTAGTTTCCTTACTTCCACTTTAACTTTTAATATTTAATACCTTCTGGTTTGTTGTCAAAGACTGTTGGACTTTCTGGAAGCATTCTGATCAATAGAATTCGTTTAGAAACTCATCTGCCCCCAAGTGAGTGTMCCCCGTTGGGGGTGCAGTGCCTGGAATGGGCTGACATGCCAAGTAAGGGGGTTTGTGGAAGCCTGGGAAGGATGGCAGCTGTCCTGTGGCAGTGGCTCCAGCTCTGGCAGGGAACAGGGTGTTTTTTGGGGCAGCTGGGTGTTTTTTGGGGCAGCTCAGCCCCAAGGATGTGGTGCGCAGGCAGTCCCCTTGTGCCCTGAGCAGGGACACCTGGGACACACCTCCCCCACAGATGTGCGGCACCTGCAGATCCAGGAAAGCTGGGCAGAGGAGCCAGTTCCTGGTTCTGTGTCTGTTCCAAACTGGTTCTGTGGGCACCACCTCCTCCTAGTGGCAAGTGACTTCTGTCCCCTGTCAGGGACACATTGGGGTCCCTCCTGTGCTGCTGTTCCCATGAGGCTGCTGGCCCTCTTCCCCTGGTGTAAACGGRGCAAATGTTTGCCACAGGGAAAAAAGGCTTTCCAAATACCTGGATAAACTTCGGAGCTTGATCTGCTGCCCCAGCYAGAGAAGGGCTGGGTGGAACCTGCAGGGATGGAGGTGGCCATCTCACTGCCTGGGTAGGAGGCAGCCAAGGAGCCTTTTGCCTCCTGAAGGCAGCAGGTCAGCCCCAGCCCTCTGTGAGGAGCTGATGGAGGAGGTTGCCAGGAGGGTCTGGAGCAGCTTAGGGCCAGGAGCTGCTCCCTTGGAGGGCCTGGGAGATTGCAGACTCACAGACTGGTTGGGGCTCGAAAGGAGTTACAGAGCTTCTTATCCCACCCCCTGCCATGGGCAGAGACATCTTCCACTGTTCCAGGGCACTCCAAGCCCTGTCCAACCTGGCCTTGGACWCTRCCAGGGATCCAGGGGCAGCCACAGCTTCTCTGGGCACCCTATGTCAGGGCCTGCCCACCCTCACAGGGAGGAATTTCTTCCTAACAWCCAATCTAAATATCTGCTTTTTTAGTTTAAAATAATTTCCCCTTGTTCTGTGACCCTCTGCCTGTGTAAAAAGCTTATCTCTCTAATTTTTATAAGCCTAAAACACTGGAARGGGCTCAAGGACTCCCKGGAGCCTTCTCTTCTCTAAGCTGAACACCCCCAGCTCTCCCAGCCTGGCTCAGAGCTGAGGGGCTCCAGCCCTTGGAGCATCTCTGTGGTCTCCTCTGGACTGGCTCTGCAACTCCACACCCTTGCTGYGCTGGGCCCCAGGGCTGGGGCAGCTCCGCAGGTGTCTCAGGGTCTCACCTGTGCAGGGCAGAGGGGCAGAATCCCCCCCTCAGCTCTGCCCAGGCTGTGGGATCAGCCCAGCCCAGGGCTGGTTTCTGGGCTGTCAGTACCCATGGCTGGGTCACATCCCATTTGTCAGCCCCAGCAGCCCCAAGTCCCTCTCCCAGGGCTGATCTCAAGCCACCCAGCCCCCAGCTTGTGCTGGGGCTGCCCTGACCCAGGTGCAGGACCTTGCACTTGCACTTGGTTGAAGTTCATGGGGTTCACATGAGCCCACTGCCCCAGCCTGCCCAGGACCCTCTGATGCCYYATCCCTTCTCTCTGCTGAACTGACTGCTCCACACAACTCAGTGTCCTCCACAAACCTGCTGAGAATTTTGGAGATCAGAGCCTCATCCTGCTTCTTCAACCTGAGTTTTTCAGAGCAGACAGGACAAAGTCAGGGGAAGGATTCATGCTCATTTTAGCCCTTGCCTACATTTTGGCCTTGCTGCTGCCTTCATCCTGAAGGTTTGATCCTGAAGGCTTTGCCAGGGGCCTCTTGCAGCTCCCTGGGCACCACCATGGGGTTGATCCTACCTCTGAAGCCCACCCATGGCCCACAGTGCAGCACAGACCCCCTTGCACCAGGGAGGGGTTCAGGGCCACCCCACACTCTTTGGCTCAGAGAGGGTGATAGCTGGTGACTTACTTGAATTCTTTTGGGAATGATCCTTTAACATGATCCATTTCAAGTTGTGCTCTTAGGGRAGCTTTTAAACCTCTCCTGCTTCCCCCAGAGCTATGGCAACTGTCTGTGAGCCACTGGGCCTTAAGTTAAATTTGGGAGAGGGGACAATTGAAAATAATTGTGTCTGTTGTGTCTTCATAAAAGACAAGTTCCCTCTGGGTTGGGGTGGGCCCCTGGGGAGTCCGAACACCCTGCTATTTTCTGGAGACTGGCTCCTCCTACACAGGCAGGTGCTCTGAGCTGTTCCTGGGGGGAGCAGTTTTCCTGCTGTCCTGGGAAAGCTGTTGTCATGTCTTAACAGAAGAAAAGGTAAAGGTTTTGGCYGTGTCATTGGCCACTTGACTTTGAGCTTGCTGGGGGATGAGCCCCTTGCTGGGGGCCTGCAGAGCAAGGGAAGTGCTTGCTGCAGCAAAACATTCCAGGCTGCCTTTGCYGGGGCTGCAGTGAAAATCCCTGCCTGGCTCAGCCCCTGTCCTGTGGTGGCTGCTGGGTGCATTTCTGGGTGACCTTTCCCTGGCAGCCAGACTGGGGCCACTCCCTTGCCCTGGCCTGCATGCCAGCTCCTGGTGGGTGATATCCATCTCTAGGCCGGGAAAACCACTGACAGCTACATGAGGCAGAGTATGGACAGTGTCCTTGCAGTGTGGGGGGCTTGGGGCACAGCACAGGGGAYCCTGCTGTCCCCAGTCCCAGTGTGTCACCCTGAGGCCATGCCTGGTGACACSGGGGCCAGCCTTGGCTGAAATTCCCCAGCTCAGTGAGCACATGAACCCACTCTTGGCTTTGCACTGAGCCAGGGCCATGGTGGCCTTGGGGACTGTGACTGTGACCCTCCGTGCTGCCACAAGCTGCCCCACTCCCTCCTGCCCTGGCACCTGGGAAGGAGGGAACRGTGGGAGACCCTGGAACATCACCAGCAGGAACCAGGGGTAAAACAGTGATGAGTGGAACAGAGGTGAGGCAGGGGCCCTCCAAGGGCTGAGATGAGAGCCAGCAGCATCCTGGGCTCAGCTCTCAGCATTGGCAGCAGATGGGGGRGATTCTGCCCCTCTGCCCATTCAGGTGACACCCCTGCTGCAGAGCTGCCCCAGCCCTGGGGCCTGGCACAGCAAGGGTAGGGGGCTGCTGGAGCCAGTCCAGAGGAGACCACAGAGATGCTCCAAGGGCTGGAGCTCCTCGGTTCTGAGCCAGGCTGAGCTGGAGGTGTTCATCCAGGAGGAGAGGAGACTCTGGAGAGGCTTCAGAGCTCTTTCCTGGGCCTAAAGGGGCTCCAGGAGAACTGAAGAAGGATTTGGGACAAGGGATGGAGGGACAGAACAAGGAGGAATGGTTTCCCAGTGCCAGAGGGCAGGGATGGATGGGATATTGGGAGGGAATTCTTCCCTGTGAGGGTGGGCAGCCCTGGCACAGGGTGCCCAGAGAAGCTGTGGCTGCCCCTGRATCCCTGGMAGTGTCCAAGGKCAGGCTGGACATTGGGGCTTGGAGCATCCTGGGACAGTGGAAGGTGTCCCTGCYCATGGCAGGGGGTGGGGCRAGAGGATCTYTAAGGTCCCTTCCCACCCAAACCCATTTGGGATTCTGTGACAATGCTGTCCTTGCCCTGGCTGATGCAAGGACTCCCTAGGTTTGCCTGACCTAGGGACAGCTCTGTCCCTGCCAGCTCAGGGGATGGATCTCCTGGGACCCCCCACCCAGGAGAACGGGGACACCATGGGGGCACAGGCRCCCAGCCCTTCACTGCTGCTTTCAGACATGACACCTGATGTCCCCAGCTGGGACAGCCCATGGCACGGATCAGTGCCAGAGCCACCTTTTTGCTGTCCCCTCGAGCCTATCCAAGCCCCTGGGATGCAGAAGGGCCTAATGGAAGCCTGGTTTAATGTGCTGTTCCTTTTTGTCTCCCTTTTACAGGCCTTTGCACTGAAGCCAAGTGAAGAACCTCACAACTGCACTGCACATCACTCAGCTCTGATTTCTCTGTCATCAAGATTTCAAGGGCTGTTTTCCTCCTCCCTGCCCATCTCTCCCGTGTCTGTGCCTGGAAGCTGGTGCCCAGCAGTAGCTCTATCTCCCTGTCCATCCTGCTGGACATCTCCCCACCATGTTTCAGCGTCTCACCAGCCTCTTCTTCAGTGACAGCAACACACCAGAGGGCCTGGAAGAGCCCAAACCCTTTGTYGAGGAGGAGGAGGAGGAGGATGGCTGGCTCATAATTGACCTTGCAGGTGAGGAAAGCAGCAGAACTAGCCTCCCAGAGCCTCTGCTGCACCTTGTMTCTCCAGAGCTGGGTAAACCCCTAGTCAGCAGATGAGCTTATACCACATGGGATCAGCTCTGCCCTTCATTTTCCCTGCCCTGGTCCCCTTGCCCTGCCCATGGTGCCTGGCCCTGTGATCAATGCAGCAGCCCCTGACWCACTGCTCCTTTTCCCTTTCCTCTCCCCGTGATGGTTTTGGGCTTTCTGCCGCGGTGCCACAGCRTCTCCAGCTGGGGTTGCTGCTGCCTGGCAGYGTCCRGGTGCCTCCATGCCAGGAGGGGACYCTGGCAAGGCACCAGCCAGGGACATTGCCCGGGGTTTGGCTGTGCTTCTGCCTGCCAGGGGTCGATGGGTGGGGGACCCAGCCCTGCAGGCTCTGCCACCGGCTGTGGCACTGCCATGGCCTCGGCTGAGCTGTGCCCGGGACAGCCCTTTTCCAGGAAGAGTCAGGCTCAGCAGCTGCTCCCTGCCCTGCCCCTGCTGACAGCAAACCAGACGCCTGCTCCCCTGGGAGACCCCAACCCCAGGGCACTGGTGGGACACCAACATTTTCCCAATGTGAAGGCAGGTGGCAGTGATGCCTGCCTGTCCCAGCTGGGGATGTGCCACCAGTGATCTGGCCATGTTTGGGTCATTTAAGAGGAGTAAATCTCAGCTCCATAGGAGTTATCTTCCCAAATTATTCCCAGTGCCCATGCCAAGCACAAGGGAAGTTTGGCATCAGGTCCCTGTTCCTAGAGAGCCTACAGGGCTTCCCATTCCCAGAGCCATCCAGAGCCCTGTTTCACAGCAACCAGGCATATTGAACTCCTCCTGTGCAGATCTTCTCCAACTCTGTTCAAACCTTGGAGTTTCTGTTGTAGATTGATGACTCAGCCAATTGCAATGATGTTTTTATGACCTTTTCCTTGCGAATCCAGCAGTGACCAGAGACAAACCCTGCTGCCTGTGCAGGATATCCCCATGGCTGTGCTCTGCTTTGGCAGCCCTGGGTAGTTGTGATGGCCCAGCCTAGGGGAGCACAGATATCAGCTTTAGGAGGAGGGTTTTGTCCTCCTTCTTGCAGGCAGCAGGGCTCTGAGCAGATGTTCCCTGCCTGTTGCCCAAGCATGTTTTTGTGATTTGAATTGTTCATTAGGGTTTTTTCCCATATATGGCCTGAAGAGGGGACCAGAGCAGGGACAAGCCTGGGATGGGGGACAGGTGAGAGCACTGGGGAGAGCTGCTGGAGGTGATGGGTGATGTGGGCATGGGCAGATGTGGAGGATTCCCTGTTCCCTGGGCATTCAGGTGACTGTCCAGGGAGGGTCACAGCAGTGCCATGGCAGGGGGCTGTGACAAGGAGCTCCCTGGAGCAGCAGGCACGCAGCTGCCACATGTCGGGGCCAGCTGGCAGCAGCTGCAGGACCTAAAGCATGCCAGGAGTAGCCAGCAGCTTCCCCAGCCCGGGAAACACTGCACTGTGCCCTGAACCCTGGGTGCAGACTGCAGCTGGCTCAGAGGGTACCAGGGCTTGACTCTGGCACAAAACACTTCCCTGTTTTTATGATGAGGAGCTCTCGATGCAGTACTGGCATCCAGCAGTGTCTGCCTGTGAATGCCACCCCAGTGCTGGTTCAGCTGCAGGCTGTTCCCACAGCAGACCCTGAGGAGTGGGGGACTGCATTCTTTCAGCTCCATTTCTGGGGCTTGAGTTATACCCAGTACTCCAAGAACCAAACCTGGAGACTCCAGCCCCATCCTTCCCTTGGAGCCGTGGTGGCCAGCAGCAGCTCCCAGCCTGGCTCCCTCCCAGCAGCAGAGTGGCAGCCTAGGGAGCCTCTTTGGCCCTTGTCAGCCTGGTCATTGCCCCCTGTGTTGCAAAATACACCCAAATTACTCAGATGTTCTCACAATGTTTCAGATGCCACTCTTGCCCCTTTGCTCAGCCYGGCTCTGCTCAGCACGCAGGGAGGGCACAAAGAATTACCCAGGATGTGGCTGCTTCACAAAGGTGCTTGAGGGTCCCATAATATTGCTTGTGACAGTAAAGCCCACCTTGGCAAAGGATGGGGACAGGGTAGCCCCCTGATCCCTGTGCCCACTGACTGCGGCTGTGGGAGTGCTGCTGGACTGGGGWTGCTCCAGCCAGGCTTGGTGGCTGTCTCCAGGCTCACAGACAATCTCCAGCCCAGCACRTCAACAACTGTTAATAGATTGATATCCTCTGACCTGGAGAAAGATRTTCTCCTACTTGCAAGGCCAGCTGTGGCCTGTTCCGAGCTCTGGGCTGAGGCATCAGCTGCAGGAGCTGGAGATGCAGGGAGCCAGGAATACCTGGGCGTTTCTCCACGTAGGAGCAGATTCATCTGTGCTTGTTCCTGCTCCCTCATTCAGCTGCAGGGTTACATGTGTCCATATGGATATTGCACTACCTCCTCCCTGTCACTGACACCAGTTCCTTAAATCCCACTGATGAGTCTGGGAATGGGTGTGGGCATCCCAGCATTAGGTGCAGGCTTCCTTCCCATTACACCACCAGTAATTCCGAGCACAGGCAGCCCAGAAAAACACTGGCCCAAGTGCTGTGTCCAGGTGGAGATGAGGAGGGGAAGGCAGGGAAGGCATGGAAGGCAGGGAAGGCATGGAAGGCTGGGGGGGTGGGGGGATGGTTCAGCTTCTGGATCAGCCACTCAAAATTTGGCTTCTAACAGGCTGAAGTTGAAAGCATAGTGAAAACTTTTGCTCAAGAATTTATCCCCATTTTTTCTTCCAGAGAAAAGGTGTGGACTGTTTTTCTGCTCTTTGTGTGCTTGGTTTCCATGTTTGAGGAGTGCTGGGTGGGGTTTGTGAGCACAGGCATGTCGGCATTCCCCGGCACGGCCCGGYCCGGCCCAGGTGCCATCAGAACGGGGAAAGCAGCGTTTCTCRCTGGCTGAACTTCTTCTCTCCCTTTGAGAAGGAAAAAAAAAAAACATTGCTGCAGAAAACCCTGCTGTTCCCGCCACGTTTTGGTTCATGTTGTGTAAGCAGAGCCGTCGGCAGCCAGGCCGGGTCCCCGGAGCGCSGGGTTCTGGCCAGGGCGCGGCGGCGGTAGGTGTCAGTGCACTAACGATGCCCCTTTCTCTCCCCCTCCCTTCCTCCCTCCCTCCCCACTGTCCATGGTATGTGTGTGTGTCCCCGCTGCGCCCCGCATGGCTCTGCACCCCCGCCCCAGGCAGCCGTGCCCGCCCCGGCCCCGCCCGGCGCCCGGCTGCTGGCGGTACCGGGCGCTCGGCGCGACCCCGCCCGACACCCCCCGGGCCGCCACCACCACCGGCCGCTTCCCCGGCTCCGGCCGGTCCCTGCTTGATGGACGAGAGTTGGTTTGTCACCCCTCCCCCCTGTTTTACTGCAGAGGAGCCCGGCCCCGATGGCGTGGGGAGCAGCCCCATGGAGGACCTGCTCATCGAGCACCCCAGCATGTCCGTCTACGTCACCAGCACCCTCGAGGTGGATGGGGARGGCCCCGAGGACGATGTTGCAGCGTGAGTGCGCTTTGAGGGTGTTTGGGGGGCTGGCAGCCCCAGCATCCCCTGAGAGACCAGGGTGGATGGTCAGTCCTGCTGTCCCAAATCCCCACCTGCACCCAGGAGTGTTTCAGCCATGGATGTGGTGGGGCAGTGGGGGACATCAGTGTCCCCACACCCATCTTGGGGAACACCCTGCACATCTGGCAGGTGCCCCGGCTGGCACCATGGGGAGCTGGCAGCCCCCATGTCCCAAAATCCTCTGCTAAGGGGCTCTCAGGAGCATGTCTGTATGGCCATGGGTGCAGAACATGAGTTTGGCATTGGGCTGTAGTGGCAGAGGGCTCTGTCCCTCTCCCCTGGCCTCAGCAGGGTCTTCTGGCACAGCCACCAATGCCACTCCTGGGGCACACCACACCCATCCTTGGGTTTCATCCTGAAGCTCTGCACTCCCCCCGGGATTGCCCTCCACTACCCAGCAGCCCAGGAAAAACCTGGAGCATGCACACGCTCAGCCCGGCCACTGCCAGATGAGTCCTGGCTGCTGCCGTGCCATGGGGTCCCTGCTGTCCCCCGAGGCCCAGCCCTCCAACACCTCCCCCTGGAACCCCTCAGTGGGGCAGGAGAGGAGTAACAATTTGGGGTGAACTTTGCCCCAGACCAGGAGACACTGTTCCTGGTTAGGGGACAGCATTCCTAGTTAGGGGACACCATTCTTGGTTAAAGAACACCAATCCTGGTTAGGTGACATTGGTCTTGGCTAGTAGACACTTCAGTCTTCTAGTCCTTTAGGACTTCGCTCTTTCCAAAGTCTCCCTGAGGGCCACATCTTGATCTCCAGAGCTTCAGGAACTCCTCARTGCTGGAGGGGGCAGAAAAAGGCTAAAGGGAACCTAAGACTAGCCAGGGCTCCAAAGGGGTCACCGTGGGTTGCAGACAGACTGGGCTCAAGCAGCAGCCACAGCAGAGCTCTGTGGAAACGCCCGGTTGCTGGCGGTACCTGGATTTACCCGTGTATCCCAGAGCCTGCCGTGCTGGAGCATCCCTC